GTCCATCAATAGATGAATGGATAAAGAAGATGTGATATATATATAATGAAATATTATTCAGCCATAAAAAAGAATGAAGTGCTGCCATTTGCAACAACATGAATAGAGCTAGGGAGTATAATGCTAAGCAAAGTAAGTCAATCAGAGAAAGATAAATACTATATGATTTCACTCATATTTGGAAATTAAGAAACAAAACAAATGAGCAAAAGAGAAAAGAGAGAGCGACAGACCAAGAGAGAGACTCTTAACTATAGAGAACAAACTGATGATTACCAGAGGGGAGGTGTGGGGGCAGGGAATGGGTGAAATAGGTGATGGGGATTGAAGAGATTAAGGAGTGCAGTTGTGATGAGCCCTGGGTGATGTATGGAAGTGTTGAATCTCTATATTGCACACCTGAAATTAATACAACACTGTATGTTAACTATACTGCAATTAAAAAAATAATAAAAATGATCCCCCCAAAGTGGAAAGTAGTGGATGGGTTCATCCATTTGATGCGCTATTACAGAAATCACTTCCAGTGGGTTAAGTGTTGGCTGTTTCTGCACCTATAAAATATGGGTCTGGGTAGATACACTGGCACTATTTTTAATATACTGATCTTATCATTAAGCTCTGTCAAAATGTGTGTGAGTTTGTGTGTGTGTGTGTGTGTGTGTAAAATGAAACAAAATCCCAATGGTAACAGAATCCCAAAATAAGATGGAAGACCCATAAGGTGCAGGCTGTGCCTTTACACATTACTGATTGTCATCCATCAAGTATTCTGCGCACAGCAGACAGTCAGCAAATTTGTTCAATGGAGTCAGTGAAAAAAATGCTAAGGATTAGTAACATCATGCGCCTGCCAGCCCATCCCATTTGTTACAAATTTTACTTTATTCTCTCAGGCAAAGGTCCCTGCCAGTGACCTAATATAGAACTGTATATTTGTTTAAACTGGTTTGTATAATTCAGATGTCATGCATATCAGAGTACCTGGATAGTCTACCCAAACCCCCTGAAATATGTAGTTAATTATATGCCCCAAATAACATACCAACACAAACAACAGAAACTCCTTTGTTACTTAGTTCTTTCAAATTAATTTACTTAAGGCTGTGGTTCCTCTATGCACTCAACATTTCCTATGTGTCAGGTACTCCCCTAGGCACAAAGGTTTCATCTTAAATGACTTCTCCATTCAAATGCTTGTACCCTTTGATCAGTTCTTCCAATACTTTTTTTTTTAAGTATTAGGGGCAGGGAAAAATCAGCTCACACAAATGTCTGGCTTTTCCCAGAAAATCAGAATGCTTTCCTATTAACATTATGAGTAGTGAAGAAAATACACACAAAATATTCAATGTTACCTTAGGAAATGTTCTGAATTAGATTTATTATGCATTCTTGGTACTAACACTTTCAAATGAATGAAATATAAATGAGAAACACAGAACTCTCAAAGTTGTTCTGATAACATCCAGGACACTGTAAATCTCTACCATAGAGGGCCAGGATTAAGAATAAATCAAGGTCTCCAGAAAAAAAAAAGAAAGAAAGAAAGAATAAACTGAGGTTTCATTTTCTGCTTAAATTTTCCTCTCATTTTTTTTTTTAAATAAGGATAGTCAAGGCAGATCTGAAATAGCCAAGTTAATGCATATCAAAAATGATAGTAAACCAGCCTGGCAACTTTGTTGGCACTCAATAACTGTTAATCACATTCAATTAAGTCAAGGTCATCATAGCCACCATTCATAGGGGTTAGAAAGTTTCCCCTTTAAGTCCCTATACATCCATGTCATTGATTTCCTTATATCAAATTCCCTCTCAAAATCCTTCAAAACCTAGCTTATTCAAAGACAAAATCTACACTCCTCAGTCTGGCACTCAACTTAGCCACCCAGACTAAGAGGTAGAAAATGAAAATCCTTCAGGGACCAGGTAGGTAATATAAATGAGAGAGGTAGGCAAAATGTTAGCTAGTCAATGGTTTCAACCTGAGTTTGGAAGATACTGTGCAGCAAATAAACTCTGCAGGACAATGTTTAGTGTGAATTCCCGGACACCACAGTGCAATTTATTTTCAGAGAGGCAGGCAATCCAGAATTTTTGGTGAAATCTCCCCAACGGCCTGATGATGAAAATGCTCTCAGTATAAAATTCAGGTCAGACCATCAAGCTCCCCACGTGTCTGTATCTTCACCAGCACATAGTTAAAAATCAATCTTAAATAATTCCACTGGCCACTACAATCTTCCCAAACTGTGGCAAGGGCAGTGTGCCCAGCCTCAGGCTAACCATGCTTCCTGCTCTCTTCCCTGCTCTGCCAACTCTCCAACTTACCAAACCCTCAGGGGCATTTCAGACAGCCCTACTTCTTCTGGAAGCCCTCCCTAACCACTTCAGGTCGTAAGCATCTCTGTCGTCCTTGTCCTGCATCCTTACCACTGGACAGTCAAGCCTGGATGTTCCTGTATTTTTACTTAAACTGTTCCATGTGTGTTGTTCACAACTGACCACTTCGCGGGTGACAGGTATGGATGGAGCAGAAAGGAACGCTGAAGGAGGGGACTCCATGTAAGATGAGCCACCACTCCTCCAGGAACAGGCGTGAACTTTGCCCAATACCAACAAGGCAGCCTGCAGCGCAAGAAAAAGGAACAGATCCATCCTGTTGGCAGCCAATATGGAATTTGATGAAAATTCTCACCTCTTTTTTGGCTTTCAGGAGCCCCGTGGCCATTTTCCTGGTCTGCTGAATGCTGTCCTTGGAGAAGGGCAAAGTCTCAGAGATAGACCTGGGGATGTGAAAAGAAACGAGAGCGTGCCTAGATGGAAAAGCCCCTCTCCAGCAGTCAAGACGGGGTCGGCTCCGGAGCCCCACACCTGGGGATTCAGTGTCACAGAAATCACCAGCACAACCCAATTCCCATCCAGAGCCCTGGGAAAAGGGTTCAAAGTGACCGAGCACCCTCAAATTCAGCCCTAAGCTCTGGCCACGGAGTGGAGCCCATGTCCCCCTACAAAGGAGTAAGTGTCTCTCTCTAACTCTCTGGGCTGGAATGAAAAAGATAATGGCCTGGAATGCCTATGGAAGAAGGCCCGAGTTCAGAGGCAGCCTGTACCCCCACGAGTAAAACAGGGACAAGTAGAGGGACGCGCTGACTGGACAAGGCAATGACTACAGGGCACTCACGTGACGCAGGGTGCACGTTGCCGATCCTGAGGCTGAGGCTCGGGCACCAAGTACAAAAGCGTGGGAACGACCGAATACGGAGGCCTACCCCGCCGCCAACCAGCGAGTGGGCGGGACCCACCAGCCGGAAGTGCTCCGGCTACGTAAACTCCGCAGCAAGGAGAGCGCCAGGGACAGCGGAAGTGGCCGCGCGGGCGTCTGGAGAGTGTAGTCTTTGGGGTGGAGAGGTCGTGGGCGAGCAGGCTTCGCCAACGGCAGGGTGACTCTCACATCTGCACCTCTCATCTAACGAAGCTTAGGAGCTCATGTTAAGATGCCCAGACCGCAAGGTGCACGTTTCTTCTCCGAGGGCCAATGAGATCTCGCGGACCACGAGAGAGTCGCAGAAATGCCCGAAGATTCTAGAAAATGTGGTCCTGGCGCCCCGCTGGTGTTACTGAGACGGGTGGACAGACTGTGCGCGCTGACCTTCAGCGGCACGGGTGAGCTGGGGTAACCGACGCCAAGGCTCCGCCCTGTGTGCCCTTCCAGGAGCAGAAACCAGGGTCCGGATTGGGGCGAGTGGGCGCAGCTCAGGGCAAAGACCTTGGGGAACGAAGCAGTGGAGTGACGCTCTGTTGGGACTCCGGGATAGGAGCGACACCGGCCTTGGTGCGCCAGTCCGCGCAGGGAACGCCAAGGCTATTTTCTAGGAAAGCGGGATCGGCTTGGGCTAACTCCCGGGATATTGGTGGATGGCTCTAGTCCTGTGTCCCTGGGATATTGGTGGGTGGGGAGGCGGGACTTGAGACCAAGAGCAAAAAGGCCCCCTGGTGATAGAAGTAGTAGTGTGGTGAGGAACCGTGGCTTGATCCAGAAATCCCTGGGTTGTTTTTTTTTTTTAATTTTTATTTATTTATTTTAGAGAGAGAGAGAGAGAGAGCACAAGAGGGGGGAGCGGGAGAGGGAGAAGCAGACTCCCTGCTGAGCAGGGAGCCCGATGCGGGACTCGATCCTGGGACTCCAGGATCATGACCTGAGCCGAAAGCAGTCGCTTAACCAACTGAGCCACCCAGGCGCCCCAGAAATCCCTGGGTTTTTTATTGGAAGCTAGGTGCCACTTAGGGGAAATTTACCGGAGTTGTGGTTGGGAGGTGGGGGGATGGGGTGTGAAGAGAAAGCAGAACTTGACAGTTTTGTTCATAATGAATTTTTTTGCATTAATTTTGATTTTCAAAGATACCACCTTAAAATACTTATCTTGATTACTGAGTTTTTATGGTGCCCCCTTATATTTTGCCCCCAGAGTCCCGGCTGTAGGGAAAGGCATGAATAGATCTTACACTATATGAACTTCATTGGCACCTATTGGCCTGTAGTCTTGATAGGAAGTGAGGGCTTGGCTTCTGGGCATTAAGTAGCCGGAAAGAGGCCTTTGGGAGCTTACCCTGAATTGCTGAATTGTGAGTTATCTTTTCTTTCCTGACTTCCTTAATATCCACAATTCCCTGATAACTGAACTTTCCAAAGCCCCACCCACCAGGCACCTCCAAGACCTATCATGATGCAAATATTCAGAGACTACTCTTGAATCTTCACATCCCACTCCAGAATCTCTTCCAATATCCCTTTACCTGGAGAAGTAAAAAAACAAAGTTTGTGTATTAGTATCAGCCTACCCCATTGGATGGTGTTCAGGAAGGATCAGCCTAGTGCCCTATTCCTGTCCTGCTGGCACAGCTCACAAAGGGTTTCATATCCATTAATGTGGAGTGCTTGTTAACAGAACTCAGTAAGAACCAAAATCAGGCATGGGGCTATGAAGAGCACACATGAAATGGAAGGACTGAAAGCTTTAGAGAAGGGATTGGGGTGCAGGGGGTGGGAGGTGGGATCCTGAGATAATCCAGATCCCTATGTGTAGACATGTTTACACAGTCAGTGAAGAGAGACCCAAGCTGATAGGTTACCTATAATAAGTCAAACATAATATAACAGCAGTTCAGGTGATGATGTGACTCTGCGAACTTACTCCCCTTTCTTTCCTTCAGGGAAGGAAAAGGGGCTGGAGGTTAAATCAATCACTAGTTCATGCCTGTGTAATGAAGCCTCCATAAAAAAACAAAAAGATGGGAGTTTGGAGAGCTTCCAGATTGATGAAGACTCGGGGAGAGTGGTGCACTCAGCATGAAAGCTCTGTGACCCTTCCCCATACCTTGCCCTATGCATCTCTTCCATGTGGCTGTTCCTATATTATCCTTCCATAATAAAATGGTAATCTGGTAAGTAAAATATTTCTGTAAATTCTGTGACAATTTAGCCTGAAAGTAATCTATGACTTAGAAATTAAGGCAGAAAACAAAGGACCTAGTAATCACATTTCAGGTCAGAAAACTAACATAAAAGTAGGATATGAGATAGGGAAGAAATAATCAGATGAGGGTGGGGGGTGGGGCACTTATGGGGATGCAGGAGGCAGGAAGAAGTGCAGTTTGTGCATAAAATCATTACAGAGAGACAGTCTTTGGGGAGGTGTGTGCACAAGGATCGTGGCTAGATTGGAAGATGACAGATGCCCCTGAAAGGTATATTCAGGGGTTGACACTGAATAAAAAACAAGAGAAAGTCAAGCGTAGAGCCTTTCCCATCTTGTGCACAGATGGGAGGAGAGCATGGATAACATCAGCAGGTGATGGGCAAATGGGGAGTAGACAAATGGGAAGTAAATAAGCACAGCAAACAGCCCCTCAAGAGGGAGATGAGGAAAATGAGCACAATCCTGTCCTCAGAAAGACACACAGCAGTTAAATCTCATGCGGAAACTCAGGTTCAAGGGTAAGATGGTGGGCAACACCTTCTTGCTCCAAAAGAGTTGGCCACAGAAGGCAGAGCAGGTCCCACACTGAAGCTCCAGAAGGGAGGAGGTTCCACAGTGAGAGAAAAAACACAAAGTAAACATAGTATCTGTTTATTTTTATTTTTTATTTTTAAACTTTTTTTTATTTTTATTTATGTATTTAACAGAGAGCGAGAGAGCACAAGCAGGCAGAGCAGCAGACAGAGGGAGAGGGAGAAGCAGGCTCTCCGCCAAGCAGGGAGCCCGATGCGGGGCTCGATCCCAGGCCCTGGGATCATGACCTGAGCCGAAGGCAGCCACTCAACCGACTGAGCCACCCAGGCGCTCCTGTTTATTTTTATAATAAAATATTTCATATACATTCAAGTAGAGATGGGTACAGTGACAGAAAATAAGTCGAGGAATCAGATAAGACACCACAGAGATGTAATGACGGATAAATAAATGATATATAAGGCCGTTTATCCACATATGCAGACTTCATATGTTCACGTAAATACTTATATTTGTGCATCATTCAGTAGAGAGGTTTACACAGACTGCACTCACATTGTGAAGTCAACAGGAGATGAAGTAAAAACAAAGCAGTTATCGAGTATCAGTCTTTTCTTTTTTAAAGATTTTATTTATTTATTTGACAGAGAGACACAGCAGGAGAGGGAACACAAGCAGGGGGAGTGGGAGACGGAGAAGCAGGCCTCCCGCTGAGCAGGGAGCCTGATGCGGGGCTCGATCCCAGGATCCTGGGATCATGACCTGAGCTGAAGGCAGACGCTTAATGACTGAGCCACCCAGGTGCCCCGAGTATCAGTCTATCTTGTGAGACACACACAAACACAGCTCCTCGCCTCCCTTCTGAACACCGCCACTGCCTTCAGCAGTAGATGGCAATTCCAGCCTCGGCCACTTCTCTCACAGTGTCACAGACATGGAAGTACATACCACAGAACTCACTAGAAACAAAAGCCAGGAAGTGCAGAGGCTGTGGAAGACAGACTTCAAGTAGGAGGGATTATTAAGTCCAGGAGAGGGATTCCGAGAGGATCCAGACGCCCGCACAAAGTGCAGGCAGTGAGCAGACCCAGGTGTCTGTGACTAAGTTAGCATGAACTCAAACATCGTCTGATACAATGCTTCTCAAAAGCTGCTGCAACAAGGACGCCTGGGTGGCTCAGATGGTTAAGAGTCTGCCTTCAGCTCAGGTCATGATCCCAGGGTCCTGGGATCGAGTCCTGCATCGGGCTCCCTGCTCAGCAGGGAGCCTGCTTCTCCCTCTGCCTCTGCCCCTCACCCCTGCTCATGCTCTCTCTCTCTCTGTATTTCTGTGTCTCAAATGAATAAATAAAATCTTAAAAAAAAAAAGCTGCTGCAACAGACCCGCCTGGGGGGCTTAGTAAACACAGATTGTTGGGCCTCCCCATGAGTTTCTAATTCAGTGCCTGTGTGGCACCTGATATATGCATTTCTAACATGTTTCCAGGTAGCCATGATGCTGCTTGTCCAAGGAACACACTAGGCTCTACTCTAACACCAAGTCAGGGGGAGGTCCTAAAGAGCAAGGCAGCAGCACAACGGACTTGAAGGCTGCCCGTAGGGGCTTCTCTGGAAACTCCTGCAACATCAAAACCTCCAAGATGATGCAAGAACATCGACAGCATCATGTCTACAAATAAAAGGTACCACTCAGGAAGTGCTCAGCCAGGTAGTGACAAGCCCAACCACTGGACCCACGTAAACCTTCCAGAAAACCTGGGACCCCAGCACTCTGAGAACCCCTACTTTCTACCCTCCCTCACTGAGACCTGACACCCTGTTTCCTGATAACATTCCATTATAGCACAGGAAGGAACGTCACTGATATGCCCATTTTTATGGACTTTCCTAGATAAAAATAACCACTCGAGTAGAAATTTTTTAAAAATAAATGTTTATTTTTCATATAAAAGAACACAAAATTTTACATCAGTTTAATGGAAACCCTAAAATACATAGAAAAGATATAAAAATAATTATAAAAATAGTCAACGAGGCAAAGCAATACTTAAGAGTGAGATCTTATATCCTAAAATACATATATAGCTATATATGCTATTTTAAAAATCAAGGCAGAAACAAAAGGGGTGCTACACACCTCTAAATTTATGCATTCCAGTTTAACTCTAAAATTAATCTGGAGATCTGTCATGAAAAAAATAGGGAAAGTGTCTAACTCAACTGATGGGACAAAGAAAATAATCATTAGTAAGTAACTGCAAATAAATACCCAACCAAGACAAAA